ACTTCAGAGAGGGAGGAGAGTCAGGGATGATGCCCTGGAGTTTGATCTGTTTTAAGTCATGGTTAGAAAAACTCAACAGAGAGCCAGCTGCGGTGCGCACACCTGTAATCCCAGCAACTCAGGAGGCTGAGGCAGGAGGATCGCAAGTTTGGGGTCAGCCTCAGCAACTTAGTGAGACCCTAACCAACTTAATGATACCCTGTCTCAGAACCAAAAATAAAAAGGGCTCAGGGTGTGGCTCAGTGGTAAAGCAACCCTGGGTTCCATCCTCAGTACCAAAAAAAAAAAGAGCCAACTCAAGAGTCAGAGTCTTCCTTCATGATGCTCAGAAGCACCAAGTCTTTCCTGCTGGGTTTCACTTGGAAGAATGCACTGCACACCACTAACATGCCAGCCCCGTATCAAGCTCAGACCCTTTTTGGGGCCCAGAGCACAGTGAGATATGGTGCCACTGTTTGTTTCCCCAGGAGACCTTCCCTTCTCTCTTTCTGAATCCCTTTTGTTCTGATTTAATCTGTATTTCCCCAGCCAAATGCATTTGGGTACAGCTGGGGGATAAAGGGCACAACCCTAGAAATGAAGCAATGCTCTGGGACTCTCACCTGTGAGGGAAAGGGCTAGCACCCCACCCCCCGGCTCCTGGGTGGGACTCATGGGGCTGAGTGTTCTGACACACTTCCCCGATCCTCACCACAGACATTCCCTGGCCTGGCCGTAGCCACATTTGGGGAGATTGTAATTCCTTGCCCGTGATGCTCTAATGGTCATTTTGTGGGAGGGAGGAGGCTCGTTCAGGCTCCAGACTTCAAACAGGGCTGCTGTGTGCTCTTCAGTCCCCTTGTATTCTGGCTCTTCATTAGAAAGACTCCTTTGGTGCATACCAGCCCGTGGGGAAGACAGACCTAACTGGCTGAGTTCACTCGGGGTCAGCCTTCGTCCTGCTATGCATCTGCCCATGGGTCCACAGATGGCCTACCAGCTATTTTTGTAAATAAAGTTTTATTGGAACACAGCCGTGCTCATTCATCTTGCCTATGGCTGCTCCCACAGTCCAAGGGAGGGTGGTTGTTACAGCAACCATATGGCCTGCAAAGCTGAAAATATTTACTATCTAGTTCTTCACAGAAAGAGTCTGCCAATCTCTGTGACAGATTTAGATCGGATAACTCTCATGTAGAGCATCACAGGACTAAAAAGACTGCTACAAAAATAGGTAAGTAAATAAATAAATCCACTGTGGATTGACGAGGATGTTACCACTGCAATTAAAAAAAAAAAAAAAAGGACAAAAAAAAAAAACAATGGCAGAACTGATATTCTCCCACCTGCAGTACAAGCTATTTGTCAGATAAAACCAGTATTCTCTTCCTAGGTCTGTTGAGAAGTTGTGGGGCATGGTGGCGTGGATGGGGGGAAGAAGGGAGACGTGTGGGAAGTGGGGAGAGGGAGAGAGGGAGAAAGATAAATGGTGGAATTGTGGCTACAGGTAACATGCTCTTTTTCCTGTCAATTATCATGTATTTAGCAATTTTATGGTAGGGTTTCACATAGATGAACTCATTTATTCCTCAAAACAACCCTAAGCGGTAGTCACTCTTATAAATCACCCCCATTTTATAGATATAGGAACTGAGGCACAGAGAGGTTAAGTAATCTATTCAAAGTTCCACAGCTAGTAAGTAGTGGGGCTGGACTTGAATCCAAGCAGTTTTGACTACAGAGTTCTGTGCTCTCAAACTATATATTATGCTGCTTTTCTGGAAAGCAAGGGCAGACATAAAATCCAAGATGTTGCGAATATGAGGCCTTAGTGAGCAACACTTTGCCTAACTTTGTATCTAAGCTATGGACCCTCATTCCAAACATTGGTGCATGGTGAAATAATTTGGAGACCTCTCCTTTAAAGAAAATTGGTAAGTGTGTGTGTGTGTGTGTGTGTGTGTGCGTGTGTGTGTGTATGTGTAAGACATATGACCAAGAGGAATCCAGCAAATGTAGGGAGTAGCAGTGAAATGGTCTCAGGCATGGAGGCCCATCAGGGCACCTCCTGTGAGCTCAATAAGTTGTGCCTCATGGGTGAGCAGGTGGGGTGTCACTGAGCACCCAGAATAGCCTCCTCTGACAAGATCTTGGCTCCAAAGGCTGAGGGTTGCTGGCACCATGCCAGGTTAACATCCTTTTCCATCCACTCCTTCCTGTGGGGCAGATTGGGGTCCCACCTACCCTTGGTGGCCCTGTTGATGGAGGGAGCACTATGTGACATATAGACATTGGGTTCCATCCCTGGATAACCAGGCCTGCTTGGGAGAGCACTTGACCTCTGTGGTCTCAGTTTTTTCATCTGTGAAGTGACTGAGCTGAGGTAGCTGGCCTCCAGGAGCTCTTCGGGTGTTGGCCATGTTCTGATTCTGTTTAACAACATGGAGAAAATATTAAAGTCAGTAATTTCTGGGGGAAAGAACACTTTACAAAACATGATGTTTGACTCTTGTAATTTTTGTTACAAAATATACCTGTGGCAGAATGAAGATATCTGTCCTTCCCATCTGCCCTCTGTTCATCTCCCCTTTATATATATGTATCTAAAGAAAAACAGTCTAAGGAAATGTGCCAACTTTTTGGTCTTATTGAACCCCAAATAGTGGATTCAAGTCATTTTATCTTCCATGTATCATTCTGGAAGCTATGGGACCACCATATTGCAGGGTTTCTTTTTGAGGGGTGGGGTGGGGATTTGGCTTGGAGCTGATGGAGAGATACAGTTTGGGTGGAGGATGAGAGGCTCCTGTAAAAACATTCAGTAGTCATTTTTAGAATGAATTTGAGAGGAGTTTGCTTCCTATTCATTAGCATTTTGGCTTCAAAAGGCAAAGAAAAGCATTTGTTTAATTTGGTTCATGTTAAACATTGAGAGGTGACCATCGATTTTCATCATTATTTAAAAAAAAAAAAAAGGCGGGCTCGGTGGGGCACACCTGTAATCCCAGCGGCCCAGGAGGCTGAGGCAGGAGGACCCCAAGTTCAAAGCCATCCTCAGTGAGGAGCTAAGCAACTCAATGAGACCCTGTTTCTAAATAAAATACAAAATAGGGCTGGGGATGTGGCTCAGTGGTTGAGTGCCCCTGATTTCACTCCCTGGTACCAAAAAAAAAACCTTGTAAGTGACCAACCAAAGGCACTGAATTAACCAGATGTCATGGAAGCCCACCGGGACCTTTACCTGAGAGGCAGCTTTATAACAGCAACCGCAGCAGCCAGCAGAGTGTTCACTGAGCACCTATTACCAGGGGCTGCCCTGGGTGTCGTGAAGAATAAAAGAAACATAAGGCAGAGAGTCTCAGCCTGCAAGCAAGTCACCACCCCCCCCCCCCCCCCCCACCCCGGCATCTGACGCCACGTTGAGGAAAGACACCGAGAAGGAGAGGCGTGTACGTGTTGTAAGCACAGTAGAGTGGGGCAGGTGGCCTTGACTCTGTCACTGCCATCTGCTGCTAGAGGCAAGCCACTCTGCATCCCTGCATCTCAGTTTCCTCCTGGGAGAACAAGGTGTTAAATCAATTCCAAAAGCACACTCAGCTTTGGAGATCAGAGCCGGAGGTTGAAGGAAGCCCGAGCCTGGGCCCCAGGACTTGGGTCATTGGATGGTGAGTCAGACTGTCATGTGAGGAAAACAGCCTTCACAGCGAACATGAGGGGGCAGGCAATTAAGAAACACACTTAGCTGACGGCTTGGATGACCCTTCCGTGCGGAGGATATGTTCCTGAAGAGGAGCGGGTGACTCATCAGATGGCTGTAACTCGATGAAATAGAGCTATCCAATTTCCTCGCTCTGATTCCAGGCAACCAAATTATCTTAATTTGGTTTCCAAGGCAGTTTCCCCAGGCAAGACGAGAGACAGACATGAGAGCCCAGACTTCATTAGCAATTGGAAATCGACATTCTTTTGTGGGAGCAAAATTGGATCACATATGAGAAATGACTGTGAAATTATACAAAGTAGCATTCAAATGCAAAGGGGGAGCATAGCGTCCTTAGTAACATCATCGCTGGTTAGGAATTGTTCTCATGCTGATTTGGTTAGCCTTTGAATCATCTTTTTCTTTTTTTTTTTTAAATTAAATTTAAAGAGCCCACAAACCCTTGATGACTTGGTAAATGTAGAAATTCTGGATCTGCAAAGCTGATCAGAGGTGCAAATCATTAGCACCTACATAATGCTTTCCAATTTACAATGTGCCTCCATATACAGTACATTGGTAGCTCTGGGGAAGAGAGAATATCATTTTCCCTAGTCTGTAGTTTGGGAGCACTCAGAGTCTAGGTAACTCATCCAGAATTATGGAGCTCCTAAGGGTCTGGGCTGGCAGTCACACCCAGCGTTCAACTCCAAATCCAATTTACAATGTTGCTGCTTTTTCAGGAAATAAATGCTGTTCTCTGATACAATACCCCCTCACACCAATACTCACACATTTACTATGTGAAATCCAAACCCAGTGGGACAACTGAAGAAGAGATCATAAGCAGAGGTGGTGAAGAACCCAGAATGCCAATCTGTTCAAGAGATCACAGAGCTGCTTCTCCTTCCCCCTTCAGATGCTTCTAGAAGCACCGGGGGCCTCTCTGGATGACTGCATCTGTTGTTCAGTTCCCCTTAGACCCTGCAGGCAGAGTCTGCTTGCTGCAGGTGTGGAAATCTCCATTCTGCATCCTGTTCTCCCATTCTAGGGGGTCAGGCATGCCTTTGACTCCAGCTTCAGTTCTTTTCTTTGGTCTAGGTGGAGTTCCTGCTGAGGGTAGCTAGGGACCCTGCACTGGGGTGGCTTTTCCAGAACAGCGCTGCCTAACACACCCTGAGCTCCCGGCATCTCAGCTACTAGAGCTGCCAGTCTCCTATTACCAGAAGGGAGGGCTGGTGGGTCTGGATGTGAAGATATTGGTCCTACGTGCAATGCAAACCTGTGCTCTCCATCTGCCAGGTGAGACTGGGGCAGTGCAGGCTCTTGAGTCCAGTCCCTTTCCCTTCACAGAGGGAAGTAAAAGCCCACACTGCCTGGCCAGGACATTTTAGGAGATCAGAAAAATGATGATCTGGCCCCATTCTTGCATCTCCTTTTGCTGGATTTATTTTGCTGCTTCCAGACTGAGAGGTGAGAGGCTGGTGGTGTGTAACCATCTGTATTTTTCTGGGGTCATTCCTTGGCAGGAAGTCGGGGCCGGGGCAAGAAAGACAGGAGAACTGATCTAGCTGCAGGAAGTGTCTGTACTCCCCACTGACTCGTGCTGATCTGGGTAGGACAGGCCAGAAAAACAACCATCCGTCTACCTAAAGCTTTTCTCTAGCCAAAGTTGGGCCCTCCCCCATTTTAGACCCCAGCCTGGTATTCTTTGTCTTAAGTACACACAGTACCCTGAGTGTTGATACCGTTCTCTCTTTCTGAGCAGCTGTAGAAACAGCAGATGGAAAATATGCTCAGAAGTTGTTTAATGACCTTTTTGAAGATTATTCCAATGCTCTTCGTCCAGTAGAAGACACAGATAAAGTCCTGAATGTCACGCTGCAGATTACCCTTTCTCAGATTAAGGATATGGTGAGTAACGGATAATTGTGACATTTGGAAAGGGTCTCAGGATGAAAGAAAGCATGTTTCCTGAAGAGAAGGTCTTAAGGGGGAACTTGAGAGGGAATGAAGCAGAGTCCTGTGTACAAGCTGGCAGGAGAATAGAATGACAGTGGAGGGAAGATTTCTAAAAAACTGTTTCACTAAATGTTACCCAATGTTCATTAATGTTACTGTGACCTACAGCTCTGGTCATGAAACTTAACAGTCTTAGATCCTATAAAGAAAGCTGGGGTTATGTTTTGTATGATTCCACTTATACGACATTTCCAAAGTAGGTAAATCCAGCGAGAGAGAAAGCAGACTGGTTGCCAGGAGCTGGTGGGAAGGAAGTGGGAGACTGCTCAGTGGTTATGGGATTTCCTGGGGGAGATGAGAATGCTCTTGGATTAGACAGTGGTGAGGGTTGTACAACCTTGAGAATGTACACTGAACTGAACACTTCTAAAATGGTTAAGATGATTTTGGTGTTTTGTGAATTTAATCTCAATATTAACAAAAGTAAGCTGACATTGTAAGCTATGTCATCTCATAGCTTTAGTGCACATATAAGGATTTTTCCTCTGTTCGTGGTAAATATTTCTTCCTCCCTCTATTAGTTGATCCCTTTTTATTGAAAATCAAGCAGTCAATCCATGCAAAAATCCAAAGACTTAAATATCTATCCACTTTGCATTTGAGACACTAAATCAAGAAGGAAAAAATGGCCTTGGTAGTCCATCAAAAGGATAGAATTAAAAAGTTATCACTTACTAATTGAAAATCTCACTTATTAATTGTGAAGAGTAAGTTTCCTGAAGATGAAATGCATTTGGTTGAAGTGTCAATCAGATAAAGTGACATTTAGATTCATTGTGTAGGATGAAAGAAACCAAATTCTGACCGCCTATCTATGGATCCGCCAAATCTGGCACGATGCGTATCTCACGTGGGATCGAGACCAGTATGATGGGCTGGACTCCATCAGGATTCCCAGTGACCTGGTGTGGAGGCCAGACATTGTTCTTTATAACAAGTAAGTACAAGTCCAGGTTTTCCTGGAATGAACCTGTTGATTTAATAGAACCTATACATAATGAAAAAGGAATTTTTAAAACATGCATGAATTTAAGGATTAATCCGTGTTCTTAGACCTTAAAATAATGGTCATGAAAGCTCAAATAGTAAAATAATAGGTCATAGAAGCTCAGAGCTGGAAGGAAACCATCAAATTCCATCTATAGTCTCCTTTTTCAGGTGAGAAATTGGAAGCTGCATTAGTTTGCTAGAGCTGCTGTAACAAAATAGCACTCGTTGGGTGACCTAGAGAACAAAAATTCGTGATCTTGCAATTCTGGAGGCTGGAAATGTGAAATCAAGAGTTGGCGCCCTCTGAGGGTTGTGAGGAGTAGTGTGTTCAAGCCTGTCCTCTGGCTTCTGGTGGTTTCTTGACATCTTCAACATTCCTTGAACTGTAGAAGCAACACCCTGAACTCTGTCTTCATCTTCACTTGAAGCTCTCCTTCTCCTACCTGGGCCTAAAATTCCCATTTTATAAGGAGACCAGGGATCTTGGCTTCAATGCCCACCCTATTGTATAAGTTAATCTCATCTTAACTAATTATATCTACAATGAGCCTAATCTTTTTTTTCCTCTTTCCACATTTTATATTGGTTCATTATAGTTATACATAATGATGGGATTACAATGATCCCAATCTTTTTTTTTTTAAACATTTTTTAGCTATACATGGACACAATATCTTTTTATTTTGTTTATTTGTTTTTATGTGGTGCTGAGGATCGAACCCAGTGCCTCACATGTGCAAGGCAAGCGCTCTGCCACTGAGCCACCACCCCAGCCCACAATGATCCCAATCTTAAATAAAATCCCATTCTGAGATGTGGGGCTATTAGGATTTCAAAATACGAATTTTCTGGGGATACAATTTATGGAACAGCAGCATTCACTGTTCATGATTATATGTCAATAACAATGATCCTACTAAAATGAAACTAGAATGGTCCATCTAGAAGATGGACTATGGATTTTGGACTCTGTTAACAGGCTTATAGGACAGTTGACTCTTTTCCACTCTTGGAGCAAGGGGCCTTGGGTAAATAAGTAGGTAAGAATTATGTTCTTCAACTATAAAGTGCACACAAATTACCTAGGAATCTTGTCAAAATACAGATTCAGATTCGGCGGGTGGGCCTGTGTTCTTCCTTTCTACAAGCTCCGGATAGTGTTGGTACTGCCAATCCACAGGCCACACTATGAGAGGGAACCAGAGATCTCTGTCACAATCCAAGCTCAGTTTTTTCACCTTTTTTTGAGGGAACCTCTCTCTCTCTCTCCCCCCACCCCGCTCTCTATTTTGAAAACAAGTTTCTGTGGGTTGAGAAAGGTTCTTTTGTTGCTCAGAACAATGTGAATGAGAGGTAGTTTGGGACAGGATTCTTCCCTGGGTGGAGCATCTACTGAACACAAATTTCCCTTAAGGAAGCAAGACTAGTAAGAAGCAGTTGGATTCGAGTGTCACTTCTTACTCAGAGAGCTCATCCAAGGACCACCATCTCCTGAATCATAGCCCCAATCCTGCTGTCCATTCCCCACTCTGAGTGACCAGGGGGATTTTCCATAGTCCTTCCAAGCAACATAACATTCAAGAACGTAACTGGTGCCTTATTACTCCAGTTCACCCTTGAGAATACAATTGGCTTAGATGATTTCTGATGGCATTCTGTAAGTTCTAACAATTTTCCTTGGAAAACAAACAGAATGCTGGTTCTCTCCTCTGGCTTGCTTTGCTTGGCCAAGGCAGTGACCAGCTCTTACTGAAATGCTTCCTTGCAAGCTCAGGCAAAATCCTAAGTCAAGCGATCCTAGTGCCCCGTGTTAGAGAAGCCAGTTATGTGCTCGTGAGTTCATGCAAATGGTTCCTCTGCCTTTGCAATGGCAGTGGAGAAAGAGTAATTTTTTCTAAAGGAAAATAGAATTTCTATACTCAAAAATGTAAGGCATAGATTTTGATAATGCAAAGGAAGATATAACCTGAATAAGTGATTATCTCTAAGATTATGGATGAATGATTGTTTTTCCCTGTGTTTTCTAAATACAAATATACAACGCTTACAACAACAACAAAAAGCTATTTTTAATGTTCTGGGGCCTATGTGAACAAAATCAGGTAAGCAGATTTTAGTCTCAACAGGCTAATTTTTGTCTGGATGTTCAAATCATTGACCTGGACCAAAGGAGTAGGACTGGGAATAGATGGAAGGAACATAGAGCAGAGGTGTTTTAAAGGAAAACTCCAAGAGAACCTGGTCCTGGTGTGTCAATGGAGATGGGAGAGAAGGGCACATTAGAGGTGAATCCAAACTCTCAAGCCAGGATATCAGGTAGAAAGTTAATCCATTGCCAAGGACATTGAAGTGCCCGGCACAAGGCAGTGAAATATCTTGGGTAAGGCAGTTGAGTTCTCTTAGGAAGAGACAGTCATTGTCCTCATCTGACCTCCAGGGCTGATGACGAGTCTTCAGAGCCGGTAAATACCAATGTGGTCCTGCGGTACGATGGACTCATCACCTGGGATTCACCAGCCATCACCAAAAGTTCCTGTGTGGTGGATGTCACCTACTTCCCCTTTGATAACCAGCAGTGCAACCTGACTTTTGGTTCCTGGACCTACAATGGCAATCAGGTGGACATATTCAACGCTCTGGACAGTGGAGATCTCTCGGATTTCGTCGAAGATGTGGAATGGGAGGTCAATGGCATGCCTGCCGTGAAGAATGTGATCTCCTACGGCTGCTGCTCTGAGCCTTACCCAGATGTGACCTTCACCCTCCTTCTGAAGAGGAGGTCCTCATTCTATATAGTCAACCTCCTCGTCCCTTGTGTCCTCATATCTTTTCTCGCTCCCTTGAGTTTTTATCTTCCAGCAGCCTCTGGGGAGAAGGTCTCCCTGGGAGTGACCATCCTATTGGCCATGACTGTGTTTCAGCTCATGGTGGCAGAGATCATGCCAGCCTCAGAAAATGTCCCTCTGATAGGTGAGTTCAAGTGTCTTTGAGTCTCGCTTGGTAGTGACCAGAAGTTGTGTATCTGCCTTGAAATTGTAACATTTGGGCCAACTTAAGTCTTAATATAGGCTGTTGCATGGTTCACTGAGGGTCTGCAGTTGGTATCTTAGATGGGGCTATTGGAACAAAACTGGTCTTTTGGACAACAAGATGCTTTATGGTTTAGAGCAGTGGTTCTCAAAGTGGTGGTCCCGAGACACACCGCCTCAGTATCACCTGGGCACTTACAGATATAAATTCTCAGGGCCCACATTGGACCTACTGAATTAGAAATTCTGGAAGTAAAGCCTGGCAATCTGTTTAAACAAGCCTTCCAGGTGATTCTGATGCACTTTCCGTGCAAGTCTGAAAACCATTGACTCAGAAGGTAAGGCTCAGATTTTGAAGCCAAAGAAGCCTGAATTTGAACACTCACTTTACCAGTGACTCCTAGATTAACCTTGGGCAAGTTACTTCATCTGTAAATCTCTGCTTCACCATCTGCAACATTTATATAATTGCAACCTCCTGAGAAAATGCTTGGTGCAGAGCCTGGCATAAGGCAAGTATTGAGTTAACAGTGACTTTTATTATCTTTTCACATTATGAGGGTTTTCCTCCGGGGAAGACTGGGAATCATGATAGAAAGCTGAGCTGGAATTCTAAGCCTGACATCCAGCCTTAATGAGATAGTTCTTCACATTTACTGGGTATAAGAGCAGTGGAAGAACTTATTAAAATGCAGCTTCCTAAACTGAAGGAGTTTGGTTTAACAATTTTGACCAACGTTTGGGAATTGAATGAAGCTCATTCTAAAGCAGACCACATTTTCAAAACTCTGCAATGGTGAAATGTTTCTCCAAGGGTGAATACAGGATGAGGCGATCATCCTCATCTCCCTGCTCCTTTACCTACCTTGGTCTGATATCTCTCCTGTCACCATTAACACCTACTTCCTCCACTGGGGATGTCCCCGAGAGTCAATGCCTCCATCTCCAAAACTTGCTGTCGGAATAGATACTTACCAGAATAAAAACCTAGATCTAATTTTTAGTTCTTTAAAATAAGCAATGAGGAAAAATTTGAGATCTCCCAAGATATTTAGAGTCCTTTGGTTCAAAAGGGAGGCTGAATGATCTTTTCTTCTCTGTGGAATCCAGTTTCCTCTCTATGGAATCCTCTCTAACTAATCCAGTATGGAATTGGTTTCTTTGGAGATTTCTTCCTTTTCATTTCTCTTCTAGTAACACCTACACACACACACACATACACATACACACACCCCTACCTTTTTGAGAAATAAACACACTAAGTTTGCCTCTCCAGTAATAAAAAGCAAGAGAGACATTGGCATTGTTATTACCTCTCCTGAGGAAGAAATGATTTACAGTAATGACAGCCGATCATAACTCTGTTTGAAGCGGATCTATTGGCAGATCCTCTCTTCTTTAGCCTTGACGTTGAACATCTAGTTGGCACAATTTCTAAAGAGAGATGACTCCCTGGAATTTTGCAAGCATCACTTGTTTTGTTTCTATGATGGCATGAATTTTTTTTCAGGAAGTGTATACACAGTTCTTGAGAAGATTAACAGTCACAATTTGTTATTAGTAGCACTTAGGAAATGTGTGCCCAATCTTACAGAAACATGTTTAAGTTTTCCACATTAAGTATACAGTATTTGGTGTGTGTGTTTCTGGCACATGATCTTTTTTTTTTTTACTTTTTTAAAAATTTTTATTGTTGGTTGTTCAAAACATAGTTCTTGATATATCATATTTCACACTTTGATTCAAGTGGGTTATGAACTCCCATTTTTACCCCATATACAGATTGCAGAATCACATCAGTTACACATCCATTGATTTACATATTGCCATACTAGTGTCTGTTGTGTTCTGCTGCCTTTCCTATCCTCTACTATCCCCCCTCCCCTCCCCTCCCCTCCCCTCTTCTCTCTCTACCCCCTCTATTGTCATTCATTTCTCCCCCTTGTATTATTTTTCCCTTTCCCCTCACTTCCTCTTGTATGTAATTTTGTATAACCCTGAGGGTCTCCTTCCATTTCCATGCAATTTCCCTTCTCTCTCCCTTTCCCTCCCACCTCTCATCCCTGTTTAATGTTAATCTTTTTCTCATGCTCTTCGTCCCTACTGTGTTCTTAGTTACTCTCCTTATATCAAAGAAGACATTTGGCATTTGTTTTTTAGGGATTGGCTAGCTTCACTTAGCATAATCTGCTCTAATGCCATCCATTTCCCTGCAAATTCTATGACTTTGCCATTTTTTAATGCAGAGTAATACTCCATTGTGTATAAATGCCACATTTTTTTTTTATCCATTTGACTATTGAAGGGCATCTAGGTTGATTCCACAGTCTTGCTATTGTGAATTGTGCTGCTATGAACATCGATGTAGCAGTGTCCCTGTAGCATGCTCTTTTTAGGTCTTTAGGGAATAGACCGAGCTGGCACATGATCTTTACCTTAAAAAAAAAAAAACTACCTCCACTTTTAAATTGACCTGAATTTTTAACAAATAATAAATGGACTATAAACATTATCAAATGCTTTTCTTCATCTGTTAAGATAATCACGTGAGTTTTCTCTTTCACACATTAATAGAGTAAAATACATCAAAAGGTTTTCTGGACCACACTCTCCCTTTTCATGACATATTAATATCTGAAGACAATATGGGATTCAGTTAGTTAATATTTATATAGAACTCTTCAAATATGTCTCTAAGCAAAATTGCCTTAATATTTCTTTTCTCATCACTTTAAGATCAGGTTAAATTGACTTCATAGAATAAAGTTATCCCTCCTTTTCTGTTTCTGCAACATCTTACATAAGATACAAATTTTTTTTTCCTTGAAAGTTTGATAAAACTCATTTACAAATTCTTCTGGACCTAGAGTTTTTTCTATATGGGGAGAAGCAGTATAATTCATTCCCATTTTTATTCAAGTGTTCTTTTTTCTTGCACTAATTTTGACATTTGGTATTTTTTCTTGAAATTTGCCTAGATTATCAAGTACATTATCATAAAGATGTTTCTAATATGATTTTATTTTTTCCGAATTTCTACTCTTTTGTATTCTCTCTTCCTCTTGCTCTCTTTCTCTATCCTGTGAGTGGGCATTTCAAAGATCCGTCAGTTTTATTATTCTTTTATTCTTCTCCTTTGTATCTTTTTCTTTCTGGGAGGGGGTCTGGCTATGTTGCCCAGGCTAGCCCCACCTCCCAGGGCTAGCAATCTTCCTAGCTCTGTCTCTGAAGTAGTTGGGACTAGAGGCCGCCATCACCATGCCCAGGTTTATTACTCTTTCCAAAAGCTTTCCTTTGTTTTGTTCATCTTCTTAATTTTTTGTGCTATATTTCATGAACTCGCCCTCTTTATGTTTCTTTCCTTTATTTCCCTTTTTCATGTACATTTGCTTTATATACTCCCATTTTAAAGATATAGTGACACGGTGTCTCTTTTCTTACCCAGTAGTAATTCTCCTCCATATTAACAAAGTTTAAAGACAAGCCTGAGACTTGCTCAAGTTCATAAACTGCTTGTATGTTGAGAGTGGCAAGGTTTTTCACATCATCATCTCTGCACACATTTGCAAACCTTTTAACTTGGAGCCAAGAACAGTGCTGAAAATGTTTACATGCATCATTTCTATTAAGCCTCCTCATATTTTCGTGATACTATTTTGTTGTTGTTGTTGTTACCAGAGATTAAACTCAGGGGCACTCGACCACTGAGCCACATCCCCAGCCTATTTTGTATTTTATTTATTTACTTTTTATTTTATGTACTGAATTGCTTATCACCTCGCTTTTGCTGAGGCTGGCTTTGAACTTGCGATCCTCCTGCCTCAGCCTCCTGAGCTGCTGGAATTACAGGTGTGTGCCACCACACCCAGCTCGTGATACTATTCTTATACTTGTTTCACACAGCAGGAATCTGAAGTGTGGCAGGTTATAAGTCCAGCTGGGATTTGAACTCAAGATATTTGATTCAGAGGTCTGCACTAGTGACCACTGAGTAGACCAGTTCCTGAGAAAAGGTGTTGATTTCTTTCTCTTTAAGCAAATCAGAGAACTGTGTTAAAGCTGACTTAGCTGTTGTTGTTTTAATTCCAGGAAAATACTACATAGCCACCATGGCCTTGATCACAGCCTCCACGGCCTTGACCATAATGGTGATGAATATCCACTTCTGCGGGGCCGAGGCCCGGCCCGTGCCTCACTGGGCCAAGGTGGTCATCCTGAAGTACATGTCCAGGATCTTGTTTGTCTACGACGTGGGGGAGAGCTGCCTCGGCCCTCGCCACAGCAGGGAGCGGGACCACCTCCCCAAGGTGTATGGCAAACTCCCAGAGTCCAACCTGAACACAGCCAGGAACAAAGACCTTCCCAGAACAAAGGAAATGAACAAACTCTTAAAGAATGACCTGGGGTGCCAGGGTGAGAACCCACAGGGTGCGGATGGTTACTGTGCACGGTATGAAGCGCTGACAAGAAATATCGAGTACATAGCCAAGTGCCTCAAAGATCACAAGGCCACCAACTCCAAGGGGAGCGAATGGAAGAAGGTTGCGAAAGTCATAGACCGGTTTTTCATGTGGATTTTTTTCATCATGGTGTTTGTGATGACTATTTTGATCATAGCAAGAGCGGATTAGGAGACATTTGATACCTGGGGTGAAATCAATAAAATTCCCTGCGATCTCCTCCAGTGTTCTTTTAAGCCAGATTGTTGTTCAAATGTAGTTTAGGGGTTTTGTTGTTTGTACTTTTTATTTTTGACTTCAAATCCACATTGCAGCTATCTGTCAGGTTAAAAGGCGATCCAAAAGTTCAAAGGCCGGGAAACTGGAGGAAATAAGGAAAGACTCCTTTCATAACCTTCCAGAATGTTGGGTGACACCTCTAATTGACACAACTATTCACCTCTTTTGCTGTTCAGATAACAAAGCACTGCAAATTAGTGTTTAAAATTTAAAGGAAAAAAAAGAAAAAGAAAAAACAAGACAAAAACGTTTTCCCATTCTTCCCTTAGTTCATACTAAAATATGCTTTTTGTTGTTGTTGGAAAATTCTTCCTTTAATTGAATCTAATGACATCTCTTAGACTTTTCTTTGACTTGGCTTGTCATCATGGTTAGCTCTGACAAAGGGTTTCTCCTGAGCAAATATTTCCCCTTTAGTCCCCTATTTTCTCAACTCACTTTCTAAAACATGCTCTGAGAATGATTTAAGTCTCAGTGGTAAGTTTGCTAGGCAGGGTACATTTCAAGCCAAATCTCAAGTGGTAGAAAAAAGGTTTTGTCCTACATGAAGTTTAAGGGTCAGCAATCCAAAAGGGAAGAGAATTTCTTTTATGTTGATGTCTACATGTTGGTTATGTTGTATATAAACCCTAAAGATGAGGTCATTCCCACATTATCTTTTCTTAAAATAAGATAAATAAAGTTGTTTCTACATTTAGTCTCTGACTAAAATAAGGTCATCAGCAAGCTGAGCTCATTCGTTCAACTATTCAAACATTTATTTTCTCCTACATATAATAAAGCAACATGATTTGTATTTGCATTGGCTAGCATAGCAAATCTTGTGATCATCACCACAATTCTTTGAGATAGGCAGGCAGATATTGCTGTTCTTTCTCAGAGGGAGAAACTGTGGCTTAGAAAAGTGGGTGTAAGTGACCTACATCCTCAATGTCCAACTAGGCTGGGATTCAACTCTTGGTACTATGGCTCCAAGTGGGACCAGAGTTGCTGAAGCCACACGGCTTTTGACCACAACAGATTGTAACTTAGAAGAGACTAGGGATTTTCATTCTTTATTCTAAACTTTCTGCCTTAATTTACTTCCTGTGTATCTCAATTCCTTTCCTACTTTCAATCAAATATACCTTCAAAGGTGGCCATGCCTAATTTTCACAACCTGTGTGTGTGTGTGTGTGTTAAGTTACAGGGCAATGAGGAATTAAGATTGTAGCTCAAATGACCTTAAGATGGGGAGATTATCTTGGATTATCCAGGAAGGTCCAGTGTAATCATGAGGATCCTTATAAGTGGAAGAAGGAGGCAAAAGAGGGTACCAAAGAGATGATGTCATGAGAAGGACCCGACCAAGGTTGCTGGCTTTGAAAATGGAGAAAAGGAGCCATAACCAACAATATGAGTAGCTTCTAGAAGCTAAGAGAATTCCTTTTTGCCTCTCCTTTTCTCAATTATAATCTGACGTGGCAAAGAAACACATTGTTCCCAAGAGCCTCTGGAAGAAAAGCAGTCATGTTGAACACTGATTTTAGCACAGCAAGACTCCTTCCAGACTTCTAACCCTCCACAACTCTGAGATAATAAATGATTTTAAGGCACTAAGTTTGTGACAATTTGTTAGAGTGGTAACAGAAAGCTAATACAGTTCTCACGAGCATTACTGTGTGCTATGGTGTCAGTAAGTCTCTCTACCAGTGCGTTGGAGGTTTAGACCTCAGGGTGGTAGTATTGGGAAGCGTTGGAACCTTAAGAAATGAGGTCAAGCCAGGTGTGGTGGTGCTTGCCTAGAATTCCAGTGACTGGAGGCTGAGGCAAGAGGCACAAGTTCAAAGCCAGTGTTAGCCACTTGGTGAGGCCCTGAGCAGCTTAATGAGACCCTGTCATAATAAAAAATAAAAAGGGCTGGGGATGAGGTTCAGAAGTTAAGTGCCTCTGAGTTCAATCCCCAGTACCAAAAAAGAAAAAAAAAGAAAGAAAGAAATGAGACCAAGTAGGAAGTCCTTAGGTCAATTAGGGGTGTGTCTCCAGAAGTGATCGTGGGACTTCAGTTGGTTTTTGGCTTCCTGTTTAGAGATTTGATCTCTTCCATACTTGCCCCCATTGTTGCTACCTGCCATGAGGTGGTGCTGTCAAAAGGGACCCTCACCAGAGCCTACGCCATGCTTATTTGGACTACAGGCCTCCAAAACTGTGAGCTAAATAAACCTTTCTTTATAAAGTTTGCCCATCTCAGATATTTTCATTATACTAACACAAAATGACTACACTGTGTATTTAACTTTTCCCATATTTAGATTATTTAATTAGGATGGATTTACCTACAGCCACTTTGAGAAGGTCTTGTTGAGCCATGCCCCTGGGAAACCCTGGGAAAGCACAAAAAAGATTTTAAGCAAGGGAGAGAGACAGTGTCAGAATTGTGATTCAGAAATAAGACTGCGGTGGCAATTAAAAGATTGTAGAGAAAAGAGAAGAGACAGGGAAATAGATCCGTTGGGATGTTTCTTACTAGTTCAGGCAAGTGGTAATGAAGGCTTGACCTGAGACAATGGGAATAAAAAGTAGGAAAGATTACAGATCACAAAATATCTGTGACCTAGGGTAGACCGGGCTTGGCAATTGGTTGGTTAAGAACTGCTGAGGAGATGGTGTTTAGGAGAGATATGAGGATGAGAAGGAATTCGACGGGGTAAGAGTTGAAGAAACTGCCAAATTGCAGGTCAGAACTCAGGCTCAAGGGCAGAACAGGGCTTATTACATAGGAGAAAATTTTAAAAAGGTTTGGGAGGTAGAGAGATGCAATCAAATCACCGACAAGAGATGAAAGAGTCAAGTTTGGCAAGGTGAGCAGGGCCAGATGATGCTGAGCCTTGCGAAGTTTAAAAAAAACACCAACCACTTTGTTTATCTTCTGACCACCTTGGTGCACTGAGATACACCCGGTTTTTTGAGGTCCTGAACTTTGTTCTTTCTTCTCTGTATCTCTGTGCCTACTTTTCCATCGACTGTGGGTCCAGACCAATACATGCCAACGAGCCATGGGCAAACCTGGCAAATGGACTGTCTTTGAGCGAACTGGAAACACAAGTTCTAGGATATCTGAAGCAATAGGAGTGAGGCCACTTGTAATGTCACCGACTTCAGAGGCTAACAAGGAGCTGCCTCTTTCTTCCTCTCTGATTGTGCCTTTGAAATAGGACCTGGCTGTTAGAACTTCATGAACTTGTCAATATACCTAAGCCTCTCCAACGCTCAACAAATAAAACCCCATGACAAAACTTCCCTCGCTTTGTGTACCTCTCTGTCTCTGAACCTCTCAGCCAAGGTTCCTGTCTGCACCAGCCAGTATCAGCAGGAGTTGGGTTCAAATTAGGATAATCCATGGACGGTTTCACCAAAGACCACGTGCAAGAGTGTGAGCAGGTCTAGAGAAACACACGGGGGTGGGGAGAGAGCCCCGGTGCTATCCAAGCAGAGCTATTCCCACCCTGAAGCCTGGAGGAGGAGGGAGAGAAGGAGGGGTCACTTGAAGCAAGGAGAGGGAGCTGTGACCTCTGGGTGACCCAGACCCCAGACCCAGCAGGGAGGCACTGGGGAGTATACATCCCCCTTACTCTCAGGAGTTTGGCTGTTGGCCAAACTCAACAGTCGTGAGAAACTGTTGCCCGGGCCAGAGAGCAGAGTAGAGAAGGGTAGAGTGCAAATCTCCAGGGACGCATAAAGGAGAGACATCTGGCACTGTCCCTCCCCCTCTGCCTTTGTCTCTGCAACTAAAATCTGACTTCATTTCTCTCCACTCAAAGGAAACTGCTCCTGTCGAGTTCATGATGAACTTGACAACTGCCAAATCCACTAGCCACCTCTGAGGCCTCTCAGTGGCTTTGACACAGCTGACCTTCTTGAAAGGCTTCTCTCTCCTGTTAAAACCTTCTGCTTCTTAAATGGCTCATTCTCAGGACCCCTGGCTGGCGCCAATCCCTCCTCCCCTGGTAAAGATCGGCTTCCCTCAGAGTCCCACCCTCAGCTCTCCTCCCGTGGTTTTTATGGCCACATGCATCCTGATGGCTCTCAGAACCATTTGCCCAGGCTTGCTCTCTTAGCTCCAAACCCCAGTAATCTCCATGTCAATTGGAAACCTCCACTTCAATGTCTCCAGGTCTTCAGATCCAACAGGTCCCAAACTAAGTGTATTATCTACATCATCATCCAAGTCTAGGCTCCTCCTGCATTTCCTGTGTCCTTTAGTGGTAAACCATCGACCCCAATACCTGGGTTACAAATCAGGCATCCGGTCATTCTGGATTCTTACCTAACCCGACATCCAACCAGTCACTGATCCCGACAATTCTACCTCGTAAATAAATGCTTCTCAAATCTGTCCACTCCTCTCTATGCCTACACAGTTGCCTGACTTTCCACTCTCTGTCATCTTTGGCCTACTGCAGTAGGACCCTCCTTAGGCCTCTCTGTTCCAGTTTCTTCCCCCTCATCAGTGCCAAACCAATCTTGTGACTCTTCCACGTAAAACTTTAAATGGCAAACGAAATGCCTGTAGGACAAAATCCAGCTTCCTGAATATGATATGACAGAGATTAGAAGTGTTTGTATGTTTTCTTTTATGCTACTGTAGGAAGAGGTGTCCTTGTGTTCACCCCAGGAGTCTAAATCAATTTCCTGGCATAGAAAGTAGCTTCTTTCAGGGGGAGGACTTCTGTTGTAGAGGTCCAAGACCCCGGTAACTGTCAGGGTCTTTGTCAATGGAGTGGTATAGAATAAGACCCTTGGTGTTTGAGGGGTAACAAAGAGGAAGCAGAGCTGGTGTCCCACCCGGGACTTGTGACTCAGGTTGATGTGGACCTTCGCCTAGACCTTGAATCTGGATGTTTATACAGCAAAACAAACACAAATAACAATAGCCAAGAAAAATATGCAAAAGAAGAATATGAGAAATTCATTCTTGAGAAAGATATTGGAGATCATGGTTAACAAATCAAATTGTAACTGGGCTAAGAATAGATTGAAAAATTCAGTGAGATTCCATAGAGAATCCAGAAATGGATCTCAGTCCATGTGAGAACTTAATAGATGATAATAGGGTAGTTGAAATCAGGAAAGGCCATCCATCAGAAAAGAAAAATAAAGTAAGATAAAGTCAAGCATTTGTCTTAAATGTATAAAACAAAAATAACTTAAACCCTATGAGAAAAATCTAGGAAATGACATGGATGTAGCAGAGGAGATCACTTTAAAAACAAACAAACAAACAAACCCTAAAAACCAGAAGCTAAAATAG